TCCAAATGCTATATCCTTTGGAGCTTGGAAAGAGATATGAATGATTGTTTTCAGAATTTTCAGGTATCTATTTAGTATTTCTTTAGTAACTGAAATTTGTTAGTTATTGTTTGATGATAATTGTTTTCTTTTCCATTTGCATTTAGCTTGTAGTTAGTAAGATAAAATGTATAGTAGTAGCTAGTATGATGATAATGTCCTTTATATACAAAGTATTCATGCTATGTTGTATATTACAAGTTTTGTAAAGTTATAAGATGTACTATTTTATTGTAAAGGTTTTGAATTTATGATAAATACCTTCGTCGCGGACTGGAGGATGTTCCAACTAAAATTCCCTAAAGGGATAAACTGATGTTTGCTTTTCCCGCGGCGGGGGGAAAATATTGTTAGAACACACAGGAATGAGGATGTGCTAACATGTATAGATCCGGAAAACTTAATTGACATTACAAATGAATGCGTGAGATCATTAGAAGTTTTAAATCAGAGTGTTAACGGTTTTTCTTCCAATGTATTTGCATACATTTTAGGGCAAAAATTAGATCCTAACACCAAAATATGGTGGGAAAGAAAATTAGAGAAAAAGAATTTGCCTAATTTAACAGATCTTATAGAATTTCTTAAAGATCATGCAAGAACTCTCAACGCTTCAAATAGTGTGACTAACACAAAAAAAGTTACACATAGAGTTACCGCTGTTGTTTCTAATGCAAATGAAAAACATATGCAAAATTCGTGTAGTGTAGGTTATGTAATTTGAGCAATCACAAGCTTTTTAATTGTCCCAAATTTCAGAAATTAAGTGTAAAAGAAAGGGTAGAATTTGAGAAAAAACAGAATTTATGTTTTTGTTGTTTTATTTTGCACAGTGTGAGAAATTGCCGTTCTAATTACTTGTGCAAGAAGTGTCAGAAAAAAACATAGCTTTCTCTTGTGTTATCAAAACTAAAATAATTCCTTTGACAACAGTAGAAAGAGCAGACACTTCAGATCAGGAGTTGAGTGATCAAAACAGCAATGCGTTAAAAGTACACGCACCTGCATTTCAAGCTGGAACTCAAAACGAAACCTTTACAGCCGCTACGGGTACTAACAGTGGGAAAAACGTGATTTTATCTAGTGTCTTTATATTCATTGAGACTAACGATGGAACTTTAATTAAGGTGAAAGCGTTATGTGATAGTGGAAGTATTTCTTGTTTTTGTACCACTGAATTAGCAGATATACTTAATATAAAAAGGGAAAAGACAAATATTTTGGTTTGCAGTATATCAGGTATTTCAACTACGATAAAAAGAAAAAAATCAGTTGCCCTCATCTGTAATCGGGAACAAACGTATAAAAGGAAACTACAGGTTTTGGTAATTCCAAAAATAGCAGGTTTAACTCCAGCAAAGTTTATCGATGTTAGTAACCTTGCGATTCCTGAGAAGGTGAATTTAGCGGATCCAGAATTTTATAAACCAGAGAAAGTAAACCTGTTGCTCGGAGCGGAAGTTTTTTATGATATGTTATGAGCTGGTAAAATCTATGTTCCTAACACAGGCTTGATATTACAAAATAGTGTGATTGGATATATAGTTAGTGGAAATATAAATGATTCACAGAGAAATAATTTATCGTATTGTGGGTTAATAAATGATAATTCAGAGAGTGAATTGAAAATGTTTTTCGACTAGAATCATTAGGAATTAAAGATAATCCCTATTGTCATGAGGAAGACAAAGCATTGGAAATATTTAATAAGACAGTTTGTTTTAAAGCTAGTCGCTACGAGGTTACTTTACCTTGGAAAAGGGACAGGAGGGAATTAGCTGATAATTACCGAGTAGCGGATAATAGATTAAAAACTCTAGCAAAGCGAATGAATTATGACAAAACACTGTTTTCTACATATAGTGAAATATTAGATGATTTATCTAAAGCAAGGTATCATTGAAAGAGTGACAGATGGAAATATATCTATCAGTAAACCAGTATTTTACCTACCACACCAACCGGTATTTAGAGAAACCAGTGCTTCAACGAAGACTAGAATTGTATTTGATGGCAGCTCACATGAGTTCGGGCAGCTATCATTGAACGATTGTCTATGGACAGGGACAAATTTAAATCCTAATATGTTCCATCTGCTAATTAATTTCCAATTAAATAAAGTTTCAATTTCAGCGGATGTAGAAAAAGCATTTTTGCAGATTGCTTTGGCAGAAAAGGATCAAGACGTAGTGTGATTCCTGTTTGTGGAAAACACACAATTAAATGATCTAAAACTAGCGACATATAGATTCAAGCGCATAAATTTTGAGATTAAGTCAAGTCCGTTTTTGTTGGCTGCAACAATTAAAGAACACATTAGAAAATATCGAAATGAGCAGCCAGATGTATTTGAAATATTGAATTCTTGTGTTTATGTTGATGATTTTATTACTGGACAGGACAGTATAGATGAGGCTCGAAGCTTATTGCGTAAAGCTAAACAAATTACGAGTGCAGCAAATATGAACTTGCGTAAATGGGTATCCAATGATCCTGAGCTGATGAGAAAATGGGAAAAAGAAGAGTTCGAGATCCATCCACATAAAATCAATTACTGAAACGAGACACTTAAGTTCTTGGGAATATCTTGGGATACTAATGAAGGCAGTCTGGGTATAGGTACAGACAGTTTGACGGAATTTCTTAAGAATAAGCGTAATACGAAACGGTTCATCTTGAAAACTGCCGGGAAGATTTTTGATCCTTTTGAGCTAATAACTCCATTTACTGTTAGACTTAAATTCTTGCTACAAGAACTTTGGGTTTGAAAATTGGCATGGGATGAACTACCTACAGATATCTGTCAAGAGTGGGCAAAGTGGTGCTGTGAGTGTCATCATCTAAGTAAAATTGCAGTTCCAAGATTCATTTTGAATCCCGAAATCGATTCCATAAAGATCCATTGCTTTTCAGATGCTAGTCAGAGGGCGTACGGTACTGTTGTCTATGTAAAACTGCGTAAGGAAGAAGAAATTTCTGCGAGATTCGTCGCATCAAAATGTCGTGTTGCATTGTGAAAAGAATTATGTTACCTCGTCTTGAATTATTTGGTGCATTACTAGCAGTGTGTTTAGATTCTGGAGTGAAAAATTTGCTCTATCAAAAGAAATCCTCGAGAATATTTTATCGGACTGATGCCAAAATAGTGCTATGCTGGGTTACTGGGTTAAAGGTACCAGTACTAAATGGAAATTTTTCATCGCCAACAGAGTTAACAAGATTAGGAAGTTAACACAGCCGACAGAGTGGTTCTATTGTTCAACAAAAGAGAACCAGCAGATGTTATGACGCGTGGTGTTCAAATTGACTTTCTTGTGAACTGTTTCAAATGGTGGTCATGCTGTGACTTTCTAACATGCTCAGAGATTCCTCATCAGGACTTATCATTTGAGGTAGTTCAAGAAGTGTGTCCAAATGAACTTAAAAAAGACAATGAACTGCATAATGATTCTAACTTAGTTTTAATTGCATGTAATGAACCAAACCTCTTTAATGATATTCTTAATTTGTCTTCTAATTACACTAAACTTATTCGTATTGTAAGTTTCATTTTCAGGTTTATCCATAATCTTAAGAACCCTCAGGTAAGGAGGTATGGAGTACTTACTTTAGAAGAGATAAAGGATGCTGAGGTGTACATTTTATTAGAGACCCAAAAAAAGTAAGTTTGGAGAAGAAATATATCAATTAAAAAGAGGTAAGTGTGTAAACCCCAAAAGTACTAGTGTAGAACTTAAAAAATTGAAAAAATTGGTTGAGTGTCCAGATGATAATTTAGCGAGTTTTTATACCACTGAAGGTATAGAGTGGAAATTTATTCCTCCAAAGTCGCCAAATTTCGGCAGAATTTGGGAGGCCGGGGTTAAATCATTTAAGAGTCATTTGAAGAGAGTTATTGGTAATCAGTGTTTAACTTTAGAAGAATTTTTAACTGTTTTAACTGAAATTGAAAAAGTATTGAACTCAAGTCCTCTTACTCCAATTTCAGCTGGTTACAATAATTTTGAAACTTTGACCCCAGGTCACTTTTTGGTTGGTAGACCTATCACAACTCTAGCTGAGACAGGTTTATCCAACATACATGAGAACAGACTTTCTAAATGGCAAAGAATCACTAAGTATACACAAAAAATTTGGAAATTATGGAAACGTGATTATCTTAATAATTTACAAGAACGTCACAAGTGGAAATTTATAAAGGATGGTGTTCAGTTGGGAACTCTTGTATTAATCAAAGATGAAAATTTGCCTTTAACCAAATGGTTAGTGGGGAGAATAGCTGATGTTTTTCATGGTAGGGATAACAAAATAAGAGTAGTAACTGTAAGATTGCCTAATCAGCATTTGCTGAAATGAAATGTTCGAGATATATGTATACTTCCTGTAGAATGATGGTTTATTTCTATTATAAACTGGTATTTGTTGTAATAATTTGAATGTATGTTTTTCAATATTGTGATTTGTTATTGTGAAGTAATCTATTGTAGTGCCTTTATATTTACATTTATTGAAATAATAGTTTTGAAATTGTTAATTTCAACGTCGGGAGTGTTTTGTATTAGCTGAGAAATGCTTGGCGCCAGAGTGGAATCTTGGCTTAAGGCGCATGCGCCGCCGGAATTGGCACTGAAATGTATTCTGTGAAAAACTTGATTTTTGTGGTACATTGGAAGTTGCGATTCATATGTTACGCTTTAAGGTGAAACCTAGCGCCAGAGAGTCGCTATGGAAATTAAATGTATTGAAACTGTGTAATGTGTGTGGTGTTATTTTATTATGATATATAGCTATCGACGGGAAATAGAATAAGTCAATTCATTCCCTATTTTTTTCATTCACTTATTGTTTACTTCCTTTATAAATTTACATTTCTCTAAACAACATAGAAAATGTTGATTATATGTTGAATCATGTCAGTAAAAAAAATAAGTACATAGTTTAAACCATTTTCATTTACTCACTTTATGCGGTAATTTATGCTGCCAGACAGTTCCTTTTTAGCGTTAGTACATCTTTCAAGGATATCCCTAAGGCACTTGTGATTTTGCAACATTAATTCTAACTGGTTCTGAAATGTCCCACAGAGGTCAGGCAAAACCATGGGATCTCTGGCAATCATGCACTGAGTTTGATTAAACCACTAAATAAAATATTACATAAATTATTACACAAAGCATTTTCATTGTAAAAACATATTAGCAAAAACTGTTACCTTTTATGATATAAGAAAAATTTTATTACAGAAATACTGACATCATAATACAATATTAAACTTTTTCCAGCTAAGGAAAATATATGAAATATAAAAGATCAGCAGTTACAGTCACTGAATAATAAAAACAATAAATATAATATATTATGTATGTGTATGACTTACACTTGCAAGATCACGTTGGTCTTTCTCTAACTTCTTGGCATCTTCAATTTGTTTATTTAATGAAGATAACCTTTCTTCAATACCTTTAACTTCCTTTATATCAGGATTATCAGCATTCTTAAGGACGTTCTGAATAGCTTCATTAAGGACAACAAGACAATGTTCATTCAACTAAATGTGAAAACAAAATCTCGCTGAGACATCAATCCTCTTTATGATATAAAAAAGATAATCTCTTTATAATATAAACAAAAATAAAACTCTCTTTCATAAGCTTTTAATGATTAAATTAACTAATATTCAAAGCTGACAAAAATTACAAATACAATGAAGCAGATAGTTAACTAATACATGCTGTTCCTGCTGGTAATAACTTGCCATTAAATCCTTGTGATGGCAATTTGCTAGCAAATATCTGATCAGTTGATGCATCTACACATAATCATAGCTCAACTCAACATGTTTAATCTCTATTTCTCATTTCTTGGTCATCTACCCCCTTCACATTTAAATGTCTCCTGATCTGTTATGCCCAATCTTATAAAGGATACACTGCCGAAGAATCCGATATATGCTAATTCTTATACAGTACAACTATGTGTCATTCATGAAAATACCATACTTGCCAACCTATGACACTCAAAAATCAGGAGATTTTTTTAAGAAATCGGGAGATTTTTCACAATGTTAAAAAGACTTTTTAAATGAGAAAAATATAGTTTTTAATAATGAATTAACTTTAAATAGTAACTAATTCTTAAATGCAAGCAACACAAAAATACCTTACACATAAAAAACATTTTTATTACTTGCATCATTTAAGAAAACAAAACAAACAAAAAAATTTTAATCAGTTTTTGTACAAATGGTATAAACAGTGGCAGATTTTGCTTTCTTTAAGAAAGAAACTTCATAATTTTGTTCATAGCAATTGCCACGTAGGCCTGATTTCACTAATAAAAGTTTCTAATGTGTCATCACTAATATTAGATCTAAATTTAGTCCTCGTTTTTGCAACAACACTGAAAATCCTCTCACAGTCTGCATTACTATGGGGAACTGTCAAGATGGCCAACATAATTCTAGACAGTTCACTATATTTTAAAATTCCATCAGCATCTTTCAGTTTTCCAATTAAACTCCACTGGGTGTCAATCCTAGCTGATTTTAGTTTTCTATTTGTAAACTGCTGTTGTGCAGCTGTTGGACCTGTTTCAATTTTTCCTCCTTCTTAGAACTCCTTTCAAGATAATAATAAATATCAACAATGTGTTCATTCACATTTATTGGTAAAGAAGCTACTCCTTTTTCAGCTGCTAAATTTAAGAGGTGACAGGTGCACCTCATAATCTGCAAATCTGAATTTTCCTTTCTGAAGATGCCTGCAACACCAGTTTTCAAGCCTACCAATACTGGTGCATTATCAGCACCAAGTGCTAAGCAATTATCCAGAGGGACTGCATTTTCTTTTAAAGTTTTAATAATTAGCTGTGCTATATTAAAGCCTGTCAAATGTCCTTCTAAAGTGGGGACAGAAAGTAAACTGCACTCAATTTCTGAAGACTCTGGATTAAAAAAAGAAACAACAATTGGATACAGTTTTGAATCGGTATTATTGCTTCCATCCGTAGAGAGGCAGAACGGAGCTGTTTTAATGCAATCAATAACTGAAGATTTATTTTTCAAATCCATTTCTTCAACAATTGCACCTCTTTTGGTTCTTGCACTTAAGTATTTCTTAGCGATTTGACTATCGGGAAACATTTTTCTAAATAAAGCTGCAGCGTGATCCGATGCATTCAGTGGCAGGTTGTGCTCCAGTAAAAAGGCACAGAACAGTCATTCTGCATTAATAACTTTTTGGTCCTTTGTTTCCGAAGAAAAATTTAATTTTTCATTTTTTTTCAAAACAATTCATGTTGCCCTTGTGTTTTTGTGTACGCACATGTTTGAGAACATCCGCCCTTCCACCATGCGAAATCGAAAAATCACAACGACAGGCGGTACACACCGCAAATTTATTACATTTCCTTGAGGAAATAATGGAAGGAAAGTCAACTGTGTACGATTTTTGAAACGTACACAAGTATTTCACCTTTCTCGCAGCCATAACAAAAGATGATAATTTCTAAAACTATTTCCCGAAGGCACATGTACTCACACAACTCAGGACAAAATGACCGAAATAACTAAAGAACATCCAAATAACAGCTTCTTTTGTCCTCATTGGCTAATATATGCCAGATGACACGCAGTGCAGCACGATGCCCATTGGAGAACTGGAGAAGGACGTTTCTGGATACGTATATGCTCTCACTCACAAAGCAGACGTTATGAATTCGCAAGGTTTTGTTTTAGATATAATCTAGAGAAAATTCATTTGCTTCGGACGTCCAAAATCACTTTTTTTGTTCATATAACAAAGTATTAAGCCAAGTTCCATAAAAATCGTGAGAAATTTTAAGAATAAGAAAAAGTCGGGAGAAATATATTGTAAATCGGGTTGGCGGGAGAGCGGTCAAAAATCGGGAGTCTCCCGCCTAAATCGGGAAAGTTGGCAAGTCTGAAATACATACATAAAAAAAAAAAAAAAAGTTGCATTAGGCTACATTAGTCAGAAATGCAGATAAGTTGTAATAACAAAATAAAATAATTAATCTGAAGGAGGCAAATTATGTCTATAACTGCTATGCAGTTTAGTTACTATTGATGCCTACATAGCTATGTAGATTTGCAACAGCAAGAGACATTAACTGGTATGTCGGCATCAAACATTGTCATCACATATTTCAACTAATATGCATGTACTGTGAAATTTTTTAAGGTGTTCACCTCCTGTACATGACTAATTTAAAAATAAGTATATAAATAAACACTTGTATTGAAGACGATTGATAATCACGTTCTCAAAGGTAACCCCAATAACAGAAAACTTAAATTGTCTGGAACCATGGAAGATCAGATAAAATTTCAATTTATGCTATTTTATAAATAACTGATGTAATTTCAAAAGATATTCAATTTTAGATTCAGAATGGATACAACTGCAATTGGTACAATTTTAATCTACAAGGTGATCTGAAATGTTTCATTAAATTCAAATAATTACATACAGAAACTACCTTTTGCACAGAACCACCTCAGAAAATGTGAAGTATTTCTTAGAATATTAATAAACATCAATGTTGAACATTACCTTTCAAATAAAACCATTTCCATAGCAGATGAAAATCATTTAGAGGTATAAATACTCACCATAAAGAGGTTCATTACATTTTTGAAGCTGACAAATATGATGAGAGATACATCAAATTGAAGATAAACTACATATAATATTTAAGTATGCAATGTGACTTTCTACAACAATGATGAGAAAATATCAAAATTCATGCTACATTTGCTCTTATATGCCCTCTTTTACTGATTTTAAAGGAATAAAATGCAGCTTCTGAACTTGCAGAAGGTTTTAGGCAATATTAGCATACATCTATATACTCTGCCAAAACTCTAACATATTGAAGTATAATATCAAAATTAAAGAAATGTTAATCTACATGCTGAGTTGAAAATACCAATTAATGTGTGATGCCAAATAGGAGTTATTACATTATAAAATGTTGAGGAATGCAAATTGTAAGTATGCATGAGCATTAATACTTTAAAAAAATTCACTCTTGAATTGAATTAAGTTTTATAGTAAAGATTTAAGAATTAAGTAGAACTGATGGCTTCAAGCATTTACAACTAGAGTTTGATTTGATTTTGATTTGGTTTCTTTGATGGCAAAACACTTAAGGGCTGTTTGCCTACAACTAGAATTTAAAAAGACATTATTTTAAGAACACAAGTTCTTGCTGAACTGTGTCTGAATCCAAATTATAAATTGAGTCCGAATTATTAAAAAAAAAAGAGAGAGAGAGAGAGAGCACTCAACAAATGCTAACTTCACCCCTGCAGCTAACCGTTACTGTGACCACTATTAAACACTTAATAAGACCCATATATTTAAATTTTAGCATAAAAATTAAATTTTTAATCAAAAATACCTACTCTTTGATGATTTAAGTATTAGTAAATACAATACATAGTTTACACAAGTTCTATAACCTCACTAACAAAACAAATTTGCAGGAATTAATTAAATGCAAATGAAATAACGAAATGGCAGCTTAATTTAAATCTCATTACTCTTTGTGAAAGAACAGAGACAGTTCCAAATTACAGGTGATTTTAAAAGCCTGATTACAAGTCTAGTTTATCGAAGTACAATTCTAATGACTGGAGAAACACTTATGCACTTACACTAAGTGAAGGGGCGATACTGTAACAAAGTTCAAGAAAAAATTGGTTTTTTACTTTAAAAAAAAAAAAAAAAAAAAACTTTTATATTTTTAAATGCAGTGGTTTCAAATTGGTGGTTCTTGAAGCAATTTTATGCAGCCCACAAAGACATTTCAATTATGCATTCCCGCCCCCCAAATAACAATGTTGAGAAGATTTCAATATTTTAGTTATTTGAAATCCAAGTTAACATTATTTTAATTTCCATTAAAAATGAACATGAATGAAGAAGCAGAAAATCTATACATGTTGCTAATTTATTTACAGTGCATTATAAATCTTATTCAAAGATTTGAAGACAGAGATTTTATTAACTTTTATATATACTTGTAAAAAAATGCTTCAATTAAAAATTTTTGCAATAAAAATAATCACTTTATTTAGGAATACACTGATATGTGAACATTTATTTGTGCCTTCTCCCAATTTCTTGAAGTTTGCTACTGTGCTTCTGTTTTTCGGTATTAGCATGTGATTTATTCAAATTGTATGATGAATTTCAAACATATTTTTTATTTTATTTCACATTATTACTACCACTTGTTGCTACCATCAGTGAACAACTGGATTGCATTCATTTTATTTATTTTTTTTTATTTCACATTATTACTACCACTTGTTTCTGCCATCAGCGCACAACTGGATTACGTTTTGAACTGTTCTTTACTTTGTGTTTAGTGGAGAACTTTTTTTCGCAGCTGAAAATTAATAAGACTGGCCGATAAACATCTACAATTTGTGATGGAGATAATTTCTAGTAATGTCATTCTGAGACAAAGTTAATCAGAGCCCAAACAACATCAAGCATCAAGTTGTGAGAAATAAACACATTTGTAATTATTTACATACAAACATATGTATTTCTATTTATGGATAGAAGAAAAATTTAATAAATAAGAGAAAGAGACTAAGTTATTATTATTCATTCTCAAGTTTTGTGTCCCTTGGTAAATTTTCTCTGAAAATGCTTTCATAATTTGTTTACTTTTAGTGTAAATTAAAGTAAGTTATCTAATGTTTAAATAAACATCTTAAGAATTATTTGAAAGAAATGACAGTCCAAGACTTAGCTGTAAATATATTTGAATTACAGAGGGTAACTAACAAAAAAATGTCTTTACAAACTTTAAGGTAACAAACTTTAGATTTTAGATAGAAAATAAATATAAATTTGAATTTTTTCCTTTACAATTAATTTTCATGTGTTTTGATAAATATTTACTAAACTAAATTTTAAAATTTATTTATTTTTGTTAATAAATGTTTTTTTGTAAAAAAAAAAAAGTTAATTAAATTCTAGCCCGTCAGCTACTTTCAAATAAAGCATTTGGTCCACATGCAATCTGAGTTTGAGACCACTGTTTTATTGTTTAGTTTCTTTTTTTACAAGCTACCTCAGCTTCAATCCATTCACATATATATGAGAGAACCTTTTAAATAATCTGATATTATACACTAGGCTACAAACATTATTTGCATAATAAATTTCAACAAAAATATTATGATGTTATAAAATATATATAAATATTTTAATGATCCTGTAAAACATATGAATATACAAACATATGAATGTAAAACATATGAATACAATACAAAAATAACTAAAATCAATAAAAGGTCAAATATAAATTTAAAGAATAAAAATATTACTTCTTCTAGTGATCGCTCACATTTTTCTGCTAATGATTCTAAAACAGGTTTTGGCTGAAATATATTTTTAAAAAAATCAGCAAGAAAGAAAACACTAAATCATTACATACAAGCATAATTTTTATTTATAATATGTATTAAAACACTATTCCTCATTTACATATTTTTTATGTGGAAACCGCTTTCATAAATTCGAATATTGTGTGGACCATCAAACTCTCGTCCCCTTCAAAATGCATGATGAGCCAAAAGTTTGTTAAAACTTTAAGAATTCATAAAAAAGAAAGATATTATGATAAAAAAAGTGCGGAATGCAAGAAAGTTGGATTTTTTTTTTAAACCGCAAAAAATTTTTTAGTTAAAAATGTCATCAGTAGAGGTCACTGATGACCCGAAACATAATGAACAGGACAGCAGTAGCTCTGTTCATTTATTCTTGCAAAAAGAATTGTCACCGTGACCTCCAAAACATTGTATGACACAACTAAGGTGACTCATAACACCCATTGCAACTTTGCCGGGATCTCCACAAACTTTTACAGCTGACATGACAACAGGAAGTACCACTGGAAAAAAAATTTTCATGGACAAAATAAACTTCCAAACATTATAGGAATAAAACTGATGTAATGAAAACTTTCACATTAATGTCTTTCAATGTTACAGTCAGTTTTACGGGTAGACTAGTTTTGATAAATCTTCCACACAAGTGTGTAGCAATTTATGAGAGCTTACCAATTTTTGGCAAATTTCAGAAAGAAACAAATTTACTGAAATCAGAGAAAGCATGTCTATATAAGTTTTAGCATGACTTTGTTTTTAACACAATATTTCCATTTTTTGCTTTGCACATTGCCTCTCAAACAGGAGAATGAAATAACTTTCAACTGACTTTTAAAGTTTTTCCAGGTGTTTTAAGAAAATTCCAGTCTAGCCACATAATGCACATTGGCTGTGCTGAATTATACCACTTGAAAACAGAAAAATTTGCTATTAACATACAGCTTACATATTTAAAAAAAAAAAAGAAAAGAAAAGAAAGAAAAGAAAGGGAAAAAAACTTGCTTTTCAATTATCAAAGCAGTACTATTAGAGAACTATAAGAGGAGTTGTTGTCCTTTCAAATTAAGTTTTTGCCAAACTAAGAAAACGTGCTATACAATATTTACACACTAAACCACCATTTTCTTCAGCAATCAACTGTATCACAATTAGTTATATCCAAATAAATTCTCTTTTAAATTACATGAAAAGAGTATATAAGACCAAAACTGAAATATTTGCAGTCATTGACATTGAAAGGCATTTCTAATAATATGTTAGCACAGATAAAATTAGTTTAAAATATAATTTTAAAATTAATTTTACATCCATAAAAACACACATTTACAAAAGAAATGAAATACAATGCATTCCATCTAAGTAATAAATAAAGAAATGAAATTCATTGATTTTTTAACATATAAATTTTTAAACATTGGACTTGTTCTACCATTAATTGTGAAAAAAATTATGACATGAATGGCATAGCTTTATTGTTTTAAAATGTTAGAAATAAATTCTGCAATAGTGGTCATTGTTTACAAAATGTCAATGGGGAAGCAGTTATATCTATCCTAGTAAATAACATATAATTGCATAACAATCACCTCTAATATTATGACAATTGCTAAATTCTGAAAGGTAAAAAAAGCAGTCTTCTTTAGGAAGTCAATACACTTTTGATAGAAAACTTTATATATATGTATATATAATGCAAATTAAATGTAATTTTTGATTAGAATTGAAAATGTTAAAAAATATTTTGAATATTTAAACAAAACATGCTAATAAAAATTAGCACAAAACTAAATTTGTTGCTTTAATTCTGCAATTTGCAAGCCAACTGAAGAAATATATATCTCTGCTCAATTTTTTTTTTAACTCCCAAATTTTAATCTGTGCTTGTGCTTTCCTTCTGTCTGATGATTTTTTTTATCTTCACTGTCACACAGCTTTTTATTTTTGAGTGCTTGATGATATGCACCACAAGCATATCTAGCATATTGTAACATATCAGAAGTTATATCAATACTCATCACATCTCCACTGGCTCTCCAAACCAAGAGGCAAAATCTTCCTTCATTTACATGCACGGTACTACTGAGAGACAGACTTTTTGCTCTTCACAAGAACATCTGAATCATGCTGTCTGGAATCCGGAGGTTATTAGAAACTTGGTTGGCTATTCTGAAAGACAATCTGACCAAAGAATTTGAATAGGAAGAAGTACAGCTTAAATGAAGACAATCTGACCACAGAATTTGAATAGGAAGAAGTACAGCTTAAATGACACAGCAATGCCATGGAGAAAAATTAAGTCGAAAATATGGAAGACATCAGCAAACTTGACAGGCGTAAAGAAAGGCCTTGAAATTCATCTATGAATGCAATCCAAAACCACCAGCAACATATGACATTTGTCAAAGCACTATAATGAATGATTTAAAAACACTAATACTTTAAATTCTTATTTCTTAGAAATATCTTTAAGTTGTCAGCATTACATTGAAAATCCATTTCATGACATGAGAAGGTAATAAAAAATCATATGTATTGAAGGATAGAATGGAAACTCATTGGAACATTTTGTTTTAAAATTATAATCCAGATTATTAAAGAAATTAGAATCCTTTCAAGGTATATCAGTATGAAGTTTTCTTACAAAATACAGATTCTCTGCCTTACTTTTAAGAGCAATAGCTGCTCAAAATATCCAAAAACCAAATCCATCAATTTTCAACCTAATAATGCTACCCACAAAATGGACAATCCTAGAAAACCTCCTCCTGACAAGGATAAAACAGTCAATCTTCTGACAATCTTCTAACAGAAGCAATTCCAAATTTACTCCTATCTTAAGACTTAAATCTTGTTCCAAAACAGTTAACAACGTTAACCCTAATAAAAATTTTATCAAATTCTTTTGCATGATGAAAGAGCTCGAAACCATCTTCAGAAGCACTGAATTATCATAATTAACATTTCTTATAAATCACAACTCGTAAACAGGAAAGGAGTACTGTAATGCCAATAATACCTTTGATTTATAATCTTCAAAGAACTGAGTACATTCCAAAATAATATTTAAACTTATGCCTTAGTTTGATTTTTCTTCCCACTACTCCACTAAGAAACAAAAACCGGATTTTTCGCTATGCACCCAAAATGAAGCAGTCAAGGGCACGGTCAGGATTTAAGAAACACTATGAAAGTATACTGGCTTCAGTTCTCACTACTCTGCGGGTTGTTTAATATTTTTTTAATAACAAAATGTTATATTTATGACATGTATATATTTACGGAAATATAATAGCACAGACATTTAAAATTAAAGCATAATTTAATATAGTAATACATTAGACAATTCATCAATTATTTAAGCATGAAAATGATTAATTGCAAAATGAAAATTTTTTATGTAAAATCAAAAAATCATATGCAAAGCATACTGTAGAATAAAAATTTCAAATTATAAACAACAGCAAAAAACTAATTCTTAAGCAGCAGATTTAAGCTTTGTACTTCAGTAACACTTAAAGTAGGATTGATTCTCCACAAATGAATTTCACCAGCAGCCTACACATGGCTGCAATTCAAAAGTCACCTGAGGTGAATGAGGCTGGTTTACACTATGTCTATGAGAGCTTGCCTTCTTCTATTTATATTCTTTGTTCTGATCAGCACTGCAAAAAATTAGCTCAAAGCCAGCTGCCTGAATGATGCTCACACAATACATAATTGATGAAGAAATTAATATGCTTCAACGTTGGCGCAAAAATCGCTTTTTTGGGAAGATCGCCATACGAAATTCTCTTTTTCAGATTTGGGCTAAAATAAAATATTCAAACTCCCTGACTTCTCTCTGAAATTTTTCACTCTGGTCAATTTTTGAATTCCCTTACTTTTTTTTTTTTTTTTTTTTTTTTGTTTTTTCCAGTAGCATGGCAATTTTGTTTACATTACCTAAAAATAAGTAACAAAACTTACAAATCTTTTATATTAAATTTCACAAAAAAAGATACCTCTGAGCAAAACCAAGATAACAGGGTATACTTTGTGTCCAAATTCTCAGTCATGCATTCATTATGTGGCATTAATTTGGGCAAAAGAGGAACTTTTGCAAGCAACTCAATATCCTCTGGGAAGCTGTGCAATTAAAATCATTAAAATCAATACATGTTAAAATAAAATTAAAAATAAAAATATTTAAAAACAAGAAAACATTTAAAAATTTCTCAAATTATTCATTTTATTTCACCCCTCAAAAACAGCTTTTTTGCATAAATCACACAAATCAAAAAATGAAAAATTTACAAACAAAATTCAAATCACCAGTCAATATTCTAAAATTCAAGTAATAAGATATTTTTGTAGTTCACTTACCTTTTTATAATTTCTTGATAGCTAGACCTATTTGCTAAGTACTTTTGAAAATGATCTTCAAAACGGCTTTTTCTCTTAAGAAGGGAGCTGCAAAAGAAGTGAAAAGAGATCTCTTAAACCATTTTAAATGTTTAATTAATTTATTTTTCAAAATAAGCATAGAAATTCTCATCATTATAATTGAACATACTCACTTTGAAATTGTTGAATTTGTTAATCAAAAATTCGTTAAAGTTTTACAAAATATAAAATATATAATAAAACAAATTTCAAATTTTGGCTTCCAGAAGCCCATATTTGGGTTGAAATGTATGTTATTCAAAATTTGATGGTTCTAGATACTATTTTTTTATCACAATTCGAGAAACGTGCATACATTTATGCAGATTTTTCATTATTTAATTTCTTTAAATATAATACAGGGCTGTAATATTCGGTAACAACAGTTCGAAAAGTGAATCAAAGCTAAATGCCAAAAAAGAAATTAATAGCCCTCCTGGGCTAAGGCCCTTCAGGCTTAAAAAAAAAAAAAAAATTATGAGAAAGTGTCTACAAATCTAAATTTGCCCTCAAAATCAATACAATTTTATTGAAAATTTACATTAAATTAAGTTTGCGTTTTCCCAATTTTAAATATTAGTTTGGCTACTGTGTGTGGGGGGGGGGGGGGGGGGGGGGGGGGGACTTACTCTTTTGCATCTTCCAAATTGGCAATGACAGCTGCCCAGCCTTGTTGTTGCAAATGCTGCTCATGAACAAGTTCATCACACTGACGTCGGCCATTCAAAGCAGCTTCAGCAAACCTCTTATAAAAATAATACAAATTCATGAAATAAATTATAAACATTATAATTAAAATTTTTTATCACAAAATATTTAATGATGTTAATATATTTATAGTGTTCATTGAAATATGACCACCAAACTAACACTTTATAGATCACTTTTGGTATGGAGGGCAACACTGAATGATATGGCATGTCAAGAGCTGATTCAATATCTCACCATGTATACTATTCAAATTGCAACTTGTAATGAGCATACGGATACAGATGCAGGATACACAATTCAAAATACCCTGTTAACAACATCTCATAGATGCCTAACTAAATTAAAATTAAAAGATTAAGAGCGCAAGCCAGATAAAGCCTCACGGTGGAATATTCCTCCACTCAATCAAGGATAACTTTTCCTTAGCGGCGCAATGCACTGCCATCCTACACCATTGCCATATGAATAAAAGTATTGAAAAATATATGATATGCATTCTCAAAACCTTATAATACCCTAAAGTTGTCACACTGCGATCCATAAACAATAGTAGTCCTAGTTTATATCACAAGCATTCCCATATCACACAGCACAGTTCTGCTAACACCAAACACAAATAAATTTATAAGTCTATATAAAAAAATTAAAAAAAAAAAATTATTGAATATATTAGAACAATCTTTTCTGATTCCTTTAAGTCGAACTAGTGTACTTACGACTCAAAGAGATGAAGATGACGAGGATGTTTCAATAAGATTAACAAGAGTGACATCTACTGCAGAAGTTTATGCGTACTATGCATTATTTATACTGCAAAAGTTTATGACTGCTGGCCATTAAAATTTTCACACCAGGAAGGAATGATTTGACAAACATCAAAATCACATGAAAGGAAGATGTAGGGATATGCAAATGATCAGCATTTCACCGCATTTAGACATTGCAGGTGGTGAAACGACATCTGAAGCACTGCATAAAAGAAAAATTGTGTAGAGGATTTCTCATTCAGAAAGTGCTTTATAAGGTTGGCTTTTGCTCAGAATATTGTGTTATGCCTCAAATAAAAAGAAGAAATGCTTACCAGCAAGTTTCGAAATTTGATAGAGGCAGGAACATTGCCTATCAAAAGTTCAGGTTATTGTTCCGTGATATCGCCGGTCACACTGGTCGACATCCAACCACTGTCATGTGAATAAGGAATCAATGGATTGCTGAGGGGTCATACTGAATGGCATGCAGGATCTCAACACCCTCCCATGACTTAATGTCAGTGAGGACAGACATACTGTGAGGTCAGCCCTGCAATACTGTACGACCACATCATGGACCACTAGTCAGGAAATAAGCATGTTTGCAGCATGCCTAGTATCAGCTCGTAAGGTGCTTCAATCTGTGCAGCAGTGTGGATTATCAGCAGGGTGACCATTACTTTGTCTTCCTTTGATAATGCATCACAGAGAGAGATGGCCACTCTGGTGCTCCAAATGACAAAGCTGGATACAGGAGTGGCACAATGTCGCATTTTCAAATGCGTCCCGGTTCTACGTGCAGAATTCTAATGGCTGTATACGTGTCTGGAGTGTCCAAGGATACCATATGTCGCCTGCTTGCATTGGATATTGGAATAGGGTCCCTGCACCTAATGTGACAGTTTGGACAGCCATTGGGTACACAACATGCACATCTCTAGTTCAGATCGACGGTACTTTGAAAGCAGGTGGGTACATTTCTAACATCTTATGTCCAGTGGTTGTACCTTAACTGAGGCCCCCAAACGACATGTTCCAACAAGATAATGCAAGACCACATGTTGCACATTGTGTTATGAGCTTCATTGATACACAGTGTATTTGATTGCTGCCCTGGCCTGCATGGTCTCCAGTTCTGTCACCCATTGAAAACACCTAATCATGGTTTGCTGAGAGACTGGCCCATCACCGCTCTCCAGCTAATACAGTTGATGAAGTGTGGCATAGACTTGAAGCAGCATGGAATGAGTTGCTCATTTCTGTCATCCAAGCCCAGTTTGACTCCATGCCTAATGGGATAAGGGCCATTTTAGCCGCCACGGGCGGCAGCTGTTTCTACTAATTTCGCACTCCTGTAAACCTCCAAAATGGTTACAAATTTAATAATTTTGTCTTCATGCCATACTGTTTATATGCAATAAATATCTTTTTTGTATTTGCTTTCCTTCATGGTGTTGCATTTTGAATGGCCAGCAGTGTAGTATGCAGCACTTATTCTCATGGAATATGGATGCTGCAGAACTATAGCTATTTACTACTAGTAAATTTTGGATGCAGATGCATGAGCCTGTTTATTCAGCACTCACCCTGCAATGTAACCTATAAATCTTTGCAATAATGCTAGTGATAGTAGTTATTGCACTTTTTTGCTATTCCCTACAAACATTAATAATGCTAGAAAAAGAAATATTCAATCAGTTGTCTGAGCCCTAATCATGACTTTTTGGAAGGATCTTCAATCATCCTCATATCTCATCTGGACTAATACAGTATAACTACAATCCTATTTTAATGTCTTTAATAAAAGTTGCTGTGGTCATATGATAGTTTCACTGCAAAAGTTATCTAGTACCTTTTGCAGGAGCTGTTACATTTTAATGTCCTAAGTGACGTACACTGCGCAAAAAAAGGGGGGAGACTGTTCTATACCTCAATTCTACTGAGCCAATTGACGAAATTCAAACTGCATTTTCATGTCTCGAAAGCACAACTTAGGTTACATATTATATTTATATATATGACATAAGTATTTTGACACAAAATTTTACTTTTTCTGAAATGACATGGCATTTTTTTTTTTTTTTTTTTCCATATTTCAATTCTACGACTCAAATTATGCCTAAATATTAAGTATTGTCAAATTTGGTGCAAAATTTGCGGCGAAATTCAAAAATTTATCTTGTATCTAGTTTAAATACTAAAGCTTTAAAGCTTCATTCAAAAAAAATATAGAAGTGTACTTGCCTTTCTAATGGATCACAAAATCACTTTTTACTGAAGAAAAAGCTGTTGGAGCACAAAATAAGTTCCATAATTTTTAAAAACCAAAGTCAAAATTATAATTAAATTTCCAGCAATGATTAGCTATAAAAGACTTGTTAACTTCGCCTTTTCAAACATAAAATTCACGTTCCTTGAGTTATGAATTCCCTAAGAAGTTAAAGTTGGAAATGGAATCTTTAGGAATTGTACCATGGATTTTATTGAATGGTGAAATTAACAAGTCCTTGATAACTAATCATAGCTGGGAATTTAACCATAATTTTGACTTTGGGTCCGCAAAAATTATTCAGAAATCTTCATCAGTTGGTGAAATGGATTTTTGAACCTTTTCACATTAACAAAGATTTGCCTAATCCTTCATAATGCCCTTAAAATTCTATTAACTTTTATTTTTCAATTTCCTTACTATTTTTACCACCAGATGGTGCTATCTTCTTGTTTACTTTACTGCTGTAGGGTATAAATACAAAGATTGGGTCTGCTGTTTTCCAGTCTTGGAGATTTCTTTGCTCCTGATTGAAGAGAAACCTTTACCTTTTTGCCTTTGAAAATCATTGAGTTATTGACTAAATCTATGCCAAACACAAGGTTGTAGCTTTAAGTAGTAATTCTTTTCAAAATATTTTTTAGCCATAGATGATATTAATACAATATGTAAATATATAATGGCTCACATATAAAATAAATCTGTTCAGATGTAGATTCAGAAAAACTGGAAAGAAATCATTAAAAATTTTAAAAAAACTTTATTCTATTCTCAGATCTTGGAATTTATCTCAATCTTCAATCAACTTCTTTCATCGGAAGGAAACACAGTTCACTATAATACACATTTTGATTCAGAGCTGCCATTTTAGCAAACTGGAATACAATTTTTTTTTTTTTTTTATAAATACAGTAGAACAACTAGGCCATGAATAACTAGTGAAAAAGACACTTCCAGGAAGACACACTGACATCAAATCTGAAGAACTGACATTGAGAACAAACGACTTTTTAAAACCAGAAATGTGAAAAATCTCTTGGGATGATGGTCGCTCAACCTGATCAGCCCAGGCTTCTAAGTCTTAAGGAAAGAGCTTTCTGTCACAAACTGCATACTATCATTCAACGATGATATCTGAAATGCTAATACTGCAACATAATACCAAGCTACTACAAACAAATGGAACAGAACCATGCCAATGTAAAATTGAAGAAAAAAAAAAGCAACTTTTGTTTGTCGAAGGTTTTTGAATAAAATTCTGTTGGAAAAAGAATTTTGTTTTCTCTTAAGAAAAAAAACCCTATGTCTGACTGCCTTCAATAACAGTTTTCATTCAGTATCTATGGCAAATTACAGTTGCTTTGTTGCCTAATTTAAAATAATCATATCCAACTGATGATTGACTTTTAAAATTTACCCAACTTTTGCAAGAAACATAGCAAATGTTGTAAAGGAGTACAAGCACACAAATTGCCGAAAACCCCTTGTGCACTATATGTTCTCTATAATTACAGCTCTACAAACACGCATGTCTTACATATTCGACTCTGAATATGTGCATTATTCAGTACCTTTGGTTCAATACTTTTTGTAAAAATAGACACAATTTGGAAATTCTCTTAATTTTGCATACGAGTACATATGAATAGAGCTACAATATATAATGCTCACAAACCTGAGCTAATGTGGATCTGACAGTGGCTGCTCCTGTGCTAGGTGTCATATTAGCACAACCTCTAACATCATCTTCAATGCTAAGATCTAAATAAGAGAAATAGTTTAAATAAGTAAAAAATGAATTATTTAAATAAATTATGTTCATTTATATAAAAAAATTATGTAGTTTTATTTATGGATAATTAATTAGCCTTTGAGAGACAAAACTTATATAGCACAAAGTCTGAAATCCGGACGTCCATTATCCGGAATGATCTAAAATCCCGGCCTCAAAACCTCCAACAAAAGTTTTCTCGGAGGCTTTATGCATGCGCATCTGATTTACCCCTCTGCGCATTAAACATCTGGAGAGTCCCGATTCTTAATTTCACTTTGACACTAAATAAAATATCTTGTTATTGAAGAAACAATCATTTTAGCATAAATTTGTATGATCAGTAATTTGGCTCTGTTGTTGCATATTTGCTTGGCATGCATCTCAAACAGAAACATTCCACAGATACATCGTTGATCTGACGCCAACCTGACAAATCATTACTTATTATACTTTCCTTTCATTACCACATGTTTATCAAAACATGACATCTTGAGTAATTACTCGTGCAGTAATACCTAAACAATTTTTTTATGTTAGTATTTGAATAATAAAGGAGTGTAGTAAACTTTTATGTTGACATTATGCTTAGCGATGATTACAGATTTCAATTGTGCTAAAAAATGTTCACGAGGAAAAATTTACCAAAAATTTCTTTCCATATGCTAAAAATGGATTTTGTTGATGATACTCATACACCTAAAGATTACATTTAGATCATAAATACTTCATTATTTCATAAATCGAGATTTCATATTTTTAATTTTATAATTTCTACATGCCATCTTACTAGATTGAAACTGATCTATTATCCCGAAAAATCCCAAATCCAGAATCGCTGAGTCCAGATTTCGGATTTTGTACTGTATTTCTAATCTTAAGTTGACCATAAAAGGTTAAATAAACTCCATAAGATTTAAATATATGTTCGCCATGTAAGGGTGCAACTGATTTGCAATTATGTTCAGATAGTCCGCAGCTTTCATGGTCTGTTCTACCACATATTATGGGTCTTAAGAGCCACCTGTGAGAACGTCCCCCCAGAACATAATATCGCCACCACCAGCTTACGTCTGACCTACTGTACAGGGGGTGAGCAAGTATTCGCCTAGAAGATGGCAAAACCTGACATGACCATCAATGTTATAAATGAGAAATTAATATTCATTTGACCACTCAACTGTCGTCTATTTCTCCATCATCCAGTATCGATATTCCTGGGCCCACAGTAGGCGTAGTTAACAAAGACCCTTGCTCAACAGAGGCACACAAGTCAGACGTCAGCTGTGCAGTCCCATATCCAGCAGTGTCCACTGAACTATATGTTCTGAAACACTTGCACTTGAACTCACACTATACTGGGCTGTCAGCTGAGGCACTGTCTGGCACCTATTTTGCTGTACCATGCGGGACAGTCTCTGTTGTCTTTTTTCTTTAATGATGCGTGGACGTCCAACACATTGGTGTCTAATACTGGTTTCAAAGCCATTTATCCACTCTGCATAAATACTAACAACAGTAGATCGTCAACGTCAGTCAGTCATAGTCATGCAGCTTCGGAGTAACTCGTTCCGAGTCTTCGGGCCACTAAAATCTGCCGTCTATCAAATTCGCTTAGATCAGCAGCAGTTCCCCATCACTCGCAAAAATAAGTGCAAGAATTCCTTACCTTCTCCAGCAGCAGTTAAACACCATTCCCACTTAATCACGTGCCCTCCAAGTCATCCAGACGAGTTCATTGAGAAATGTGGGATGGTCATGATTTTTTGGCTTGTCAGTGTATTTGAAGAAGATTAGTGACGTTTTTACTTATGTTTTAATGACAGTTAGCTTGAGTTTTTTCTTTTATGTCTCATTTTGTCCCGTACTTGCTCTCTAGAGGTTTAATAAATAATGGGCAGGTTTTATGTCAAACGGCGCAGGTTGAAATGAGACATAAAATCATAATTAGCATGATTCATAACAGAATAGTGGCTGTTGCCTAGAAAGACACGCAGATCAGAACAGACCTGAATGCCTGATGTATTTATTCACAGAATTTTGGCAAGTTTTGAAAGTTATGCTCTGTCTGATGAAGTTAATGTCCTACCTTCATGGAGAGTTCTTGGGGTTGCAACCCAGTTAATATACTTTAAGGTTCCAATAAGCCACTAAAGCACCAAAGAAAATAAGCTGTTTTGTATTTGTATTGTTAACTTATTACTAGCTGCAAGTAATAAGTTTTACATTTAATTAATTTTTGCATTTTTGTGTTGTTTCTTGAAACCACGGTAAGGATTAATGAAAGGCAATAACTCACTTTATCATGATGAGATAACTTTTAAGGGTGAGCAATGAATTACAAATAATATAATGAGCAATGAATTACAAATAACTAAATTAGTAATTTATGTCTCCATTATTTTATATATTTTTATAACATTTTATATATTTTTTAAAGACATTTGCTAAGAAAGCACTATTAAAATCAGAATCTAATAACATTTCACAGTTTAAAACATATTTAATTTATGACACTGATTCTTAAACAATATTAGGATAATTGCACATTAAAAGCATGTTCTATAGCAATAATACACAACAAAATATTTATACATCTTTTTAATTTGAAGCCTTCCCACACATTCTGGTTAATTTATATTAATTTCCTTGTCTTTAAGCATCTTTTCTGACAATAAAGAAGTTTGCTTCAATATGCAAACCAATGTTCTCTCTAGTTTCTGTTTTATCTCCTAACTTATCAATCTCTTGGCAATTTACTTAGCATGTTTTACTTAATCTAATAAAAATTAAGTATTATAAATAAATCACATTTATTTATTTTTATGCAAAAAACTATAAATAGAAAATCAGGAAAATGTTATAAATTTAGGACCACTTAAATAAATAAAAAGAATCCAAGATAAACAGACAATCGGTAATCTGTTCAGGGTTGCCACTCAAACAGGAGAATGAAATTCCCTGACTTTTCCAGGTTTTCCAGGTATGTTTTGAGAAAATTCCAGTCTATCCGCGTAATGTACGTTGGCTGTGCTAAGAGGTAAATTAATTATGGTGTTACTTGTACTGTGTAGCAAATTCACTTTATTATTCAATAAATCCCAGAGGACATTTATTCTTAATTATTCTTGGTACACTTTGTTTGATAATTTTGTTTACTTTTCCGCTTAAAAAACTTAAAATTTAAGATATATACGTTGGATAACAACTGTGCGTTTTATTTAATTATTACTCATGATCATCCCCAGTTCAACACGAGGCTAATCCGGTTCTTATAAATCACAACGCAATGCTAAAAGTTAGGTTAGATTTTAGGTAAATCTAATTTGTGTGAGGTGTATTCTTAAAAGGCACCTTATTACACTTGAAAACACAAATATAATTATAACAGGAGTTGTTTTCTCCACTGAAGATTGAGATTGGAATCTGCCCAATCTGGAATAAAATAAGGCTTTTTTTGCAGACATTCTGCAGCTAAACGAATGAAAGAAATCTATTTAATGATATTTTTTTACTAAATTGAGATATTTTATATTTATTCCGCAGCATACATACGGAAAAAATATGTGCATTAAATTTCGTGATGTCATCATACTGCTAGAATTAATTTCAGGATTATGCCAGAGAAATTTCCTGAAATTTGGAAATATTATTTACTAATGATAAATAAAATTTAGAGGGAAGAAGCAACATTAAATGATATGAACTAACATAAAAATAAAGATAATTACTTAAAAATTTAATTAGAATAATCAACGATATTTTAGCGAATATAGTTATATTAGATGGTTATCCTAGATAATTGATTACTATTTTTTTATTTTACTGCAAAATGACAAGGTATTTATTAAAAAAAAAAAAAAAAGGTTTTGCGGTATACAGTAGGGCCACGGAGTATAAAACGGCCTTCGCATGATTTTGAAAATTGTCGCCAAGAGCAAAATGACCCGTTTACTGCTCATCATGTCGCCAAATCCCGCTGTACCATACATGGAGATTATTCTGACCAAAGAACGTCTATGTAAAAAGTGGAGGGAAAATTTGCCAAGGGATTAGAAGACGGAACGGCCAGAATTTCCCTCTCCGCGATGTGTACAGGAAATTGAGAAACACATGTTAAGAAGAAACGTTCTTTGACAAAAAAGAAAACTACGTAAATCCGTTTTAAAATTATTGCGAAAAATCCAAGAAGAAATGTTTTATCAAAGAGTTTTTTTCTGGGATTTTTTGCAATAATTTTAAAAACGGATTTTCGTAGATTTCCCCCCCCCTCAAAATAACTAATCCATGAATTAATTTACTTGCGCCAAAAAATATTTTCTTTTCCTTTAGAGTTTAAAGACATTTTAAACGATATTCATTTTATGAACTCTTGATAACGTGACCTTCGAACTTCGACACCGGTTTCGAGTTTTGGCGACAGATATATTGCGCATGCACAGCTATTTCCCGCTATGATGGAACCGAGCCACGTCTGTTGAAGAGAGGTTTTCCTTCTTTACAATACATATTTTTTTAATTCTAACCTTCATGGTACCGTATACTAGGATTAAATCCATTTTGTTTTATACGAGAACAGGTACTTTCTTTAGTTCATGCACTGCACATGCGATTCTCGACAACCTTGAAGTGCCTATTTTAGAGTAACACAGTACATGACATTTTTTTTTTTTTTCGAAATGCTATTAAACACAGATTAGTCTTGAATAATTTTCTTTATTATGCTGATGAACAATGTACACTGCATAAAAAAAAGGGGGTACAGTTCTATATCTCCCGTTCTACTGGGCCCATTGACGAAATTCAACTTAAGTTTTTCGTGTCTCAAAAGCACGACTTAGGATATGTTTTAGATTTATATATAGCACTGTTCTAACATACATAGGTATTTTGACACAAAATCGGACTTTTTCTGAAATGACATGCCAATTTTTTCCCATATTTCGATTCTACGGCTCAAATTATGAAAAGCTATCAAGTTTTGTAAAAAAACGCACAAGGTAGTTTTTAAAAATTAGCTCTCAAAATTTTGCTCTTCAACGTTAATTCAATTTGATATGCATTTATTAATCTCTCTTTTTTTTTTATTAAACTTGATTCCTTCTTACACAGTTCAAAATTTAGGTTCATTAAAATAAAATTCACCATTTTTAAAGATTTATTTTTAAAATTTGTATTTTTAAATAATTTTTCTAAATTTTTCGAAAAAATTTTTGAATTTATAACCTATAAAATTTTTACAATCACCTTAAACAGGGTTCGTACACATTTCTGCACATGGAAATTAAGTACTTTTAAGGACTTTTAAGGACCATTAATGAAAAAAATTAAGGACCTGTGAGCATATGGGAACTGATTAAATTCAATTAAAAATATTATTCTATGCCTGAATTTCACTTTTCTAATACCATCCTAAAAATAAAAAAAGATACCTAAGTAGTATGCATTATTACCAAACGCAAATTAATTAACATAATTATTAATTTGAGAATAAAATAAACTTCGTGCAGTTTATCAAGTAGTATTAAATATTTTACACTTATAATATGTTGGACATATTTGAAAGAAAATAAGTGACATTTACGTTTTACTAATAATTAGCTTTATGTTGATTTTTTTTATGTGTCATTTTGTCACATACTTGGTCAGTCTAGAGCAGAGGTTCTCAACCGGTGGTATGCAAGAAAAAATAGGTGGTACACAAAGAAGCAAAGTATTTTTAACTATTTATTTCAAAAATTAAAACCCCAACATCCTGATTGAGTTTTTCTCCAAACACTCGTAAATTTATGCAAGCTCAGATCAATCATTGTTTGGTAGTACTACTTTGGATGTACTACAGGTTTTCAATTTTTATTCAAATGGTACACGTGAGTCAAAAGGTTCAGAACTGCTTGTCTAAAGGTTTAGTAAATAGCAGGTAGATTTTATGTCAAACGGCATAGGTTAAAACGAGAAGTATCATAATCAGCATAATTCATAACAAAAGACTGAATGTTATCACTGCTGCTGCTTGTCTAGAGAGAGACCTGCTGATTAGAACAAACCTGAAAGGCATGATGTAGGCACGGTTGGCAAGTGTTGAAAGTTAGTCACGCTCTGATGCAGTTAGTGTCGTAGCTTCATGTAGAGTTCCAGGGGTTGTAACCCAGTTAATATACTTTCAGATTCCAATAAGCCATTAAAGCACCAGAGGTGATAAGTTGTTTTGTATTAAGTCTCACTAGATGCAAAGAATAAGCTTTACTTGAATTTCTACATTTTTGTGTTTTATCTTCTGACCACAGTGAGTATTAATGATAGGCAATAACTCGCTTTAATATGTAGAGATAATTTTTAAGGGTAAGCAGTTAGCTATAAATAAATAAATTAGGTAAATAGGTAACCGTAGTCATTATTGGATTTACATGGCCAGTATTAAATTTTATTTTTTTAATATTTGTTAAAAAAGCCCTAATAAAATCAAAATCTAATAAAATTTCACATTTGAAAATACATGTTATTTATGACACTGATTCTTAAACGGTATTAGAATAATTACACATTAAAAGCTACAAAATATTTATGTTTTGTAACAACAACACTCAACAAAATATTTATCCATGATTTTAATTTGAAGCCTTCCCAAACATTTTGACAAGTTTATACCGATTTCCTTCTCTTTAAGTATCTTTTTTTCTAACAATAATTAGAGATTTGTCTCAATATGCAAACCAATGCTATCGCTAGTTTCTGCGTGCTTTATCTCCTAATTTGTCAACCTTTCATAAATTCTATGATGCATTAAAACATATTAGATGGATCTTTTAAATTGTAAGTTTTCAATTTCTTTATTAATAAAAAAATCCCTTTCTATAATGCCTGCCCAAGTAATACGATTAGAAGCATTTTTGATATTTTCCATGCTTGTGTCTACTGAAAAGTAGAGAAAATAAAGGGAAGATAAACATGTTAAGAAAAAGATTCTAGTAACAGGAGTAAAACACTCAAATATTATGTCTTCAGAGTTCTCCAAAAAGTAAGAAATTCATCGCAAACACTCTGTAAAACACATCCATTATGCGCTGATACCATGGTGACATTTTTCACTTTGTCACATATTTCTCGAATCTTCTAGAACCGTTGGTCTATAAATCTTGCCTTCAAATCCTTCTAAATTTTCCAAGCTGCAATGTCAAAAATACTAAAGAAAAATTATCCAAACCAATTCTGTAACAGCAAAAAGCCAGTAATATTTTGGAAAAAAAAGAAGGAAGGGAAAAAGTGTAAAATTACTTTTATAGATAAAACTGATGCATATTCTGAGAATTTTAAATATTCTGAGACAATTAATTTACATGGGAAAAACGGCTTACTATGAAAAAATTAAAAAGAAGATATTTTTAATTAATTACATACTAATTTTGCTTTTGCTAAGAGTTGTTTCATAAATTGTGCTTTATAGCATTATACCTTGTTCATTTTTCAGATTCAAAACATTGTATAATAAGTTGCCAAAATGAAACTTTATGACAGTGGAAAATAAAAATGTTTTATTTTAATGTTATTTTTTAAATATAATTCCAATATATTACCATTATTTTAATGAAATTTATCAAAATTATGATGTTTTAAAAAAAATCGTTGAAAAATTCTGATTTTGCAATTAAAAATTTTCTACAGAAACTGATCTTAAAATTGCCAAAATGTTGACAAGTCGCCAAATTTAGAACCGTTTAATAAAAGAATTCACATTCCCAAAAGCGAAAATTGTTTAAGAGCTCTTTATTACAAAAAATTAATTTCGAAATGCTTATGCTTCACTTCTTGCTTAGAAATTCGAGTATCCCGTCATTTATACTAAAAATATAAACAAATTAAAACCTATGAACCCATTCAAAAGATAACAAATATACGTCAGTGAATCGCCAAAAATATTCCTCCAAAATGCTAATTCACACTCAAAATGGCAGTCCTAAAAACAGACAGAAATTTCAGATGATTAAAATTAAGGACCTTTTACTGATTTTGGCCAAAATTAAGGACTTTTAAGGACCGTACGAACCCTGTTAAAGTAGATGTATTTCTAAGCATACCTGCAAGAAATTAGAACTTTTTATTTAAAATATTTTGGTGCTTTTCATTTAAAATATTTTTAAATATTTTATTTATAATATCGATGCATTTTGAAATTTGGAATATTTGCTGAAAGCAATAATAACGAAAATGTGGTTTACGCGCTTTGTTAAAATTTTTTGAAAGTAGGAACGATGTAATTTTTTCTGTTCCAGCATAATGGAAGGGTAAGGAAAATAGGTTGCCATATATTAAGAAGTTCGCCAAGTGAATTATTCTTGGCATAAACTGAAAAAATTCTGCCAAGATAAATTTTTGAATTTCTCCATAATTTCGCACCAAATTTTACAAAATTTAATATCAAGGTATAATTTGAGTCGTAGAATCGAAATATGGAAAAAAATTGGTATGTTATTTCAGAAAAAGTTCGATTTTGTATCAAAATACCTATGTTAGAACAATGCTATATATAAATCTAATACATATCCTAAGTCGCGCTTTCAAGACAAGAAAAACGCAATTAGAATTTTATCAATTGTCCCAGTAGAACGGGAGATAAGGAAACAGTGATTACTTTGTTATAATAAGAGTTATCTTTCGCAAAATTACCTTTATATTTTGCATTTAAAAAGAAGAGATGTTAAATAATGCTAATAAAATATGATTAAACAAATATATATCTAGCCTTCTTCGAATCAGATATTGCAATGTTAGACATTTATCAGTTTGAATGTATTTAGACTACATTTGAAATTACAATGGACTTCGTAATTTCTAATAATTGTTAAAAGGCTTGAATTCATTTAAGCCTTTTGACAATGAACTTAAACATATACTCAAAAGTAAAATAATAATAAAAATCTTAAGGAAAATTTATACTTATGTGTAATATTATTCAACTTAGATGGTATTTAAGTATTATCCCGTCAACTGTGAAAGTTGGCTACCACTGAACCATGAAAGTTGAAGACAATCCCGCCAAAGTTATGACAATCGTTCCTGCAGAATTCTAAGCCAAACTTATGTAAGTTTTGTTTAGAACAATCTAAGACAATCTATTACTGTTTTGTCAGTAATATGCAGCTGTTCTTTTCAACAGATGTTAATTCTTCCAATCAGCTGCAAATGAACCGGACTGCAGTCACAAATGTCATTTTACAGCACTCAAACTCACGTTTGTTTTCAAATTCAAGGAAAAAATATAACAGTAACAGTTAATTTATACGCTTGTTCCTATCCCGACATTATGCTTATCCATAATTGCAACTAATTCGCATTGCTCAGCGAAAGTTTCACAGTCGACGGGATAATATGTAAGTACCGATATAACTAATCCATATTTGCATATAATAAATATATTTATATGGGGAAAAGGCAATGATTCTGCTATTGTTTAAAAACTTTAATAAGAAACAAAATTACCTATTGATTTCTTCAAATGCATGGGGCATGGTAGATCTGGTTCACTTAAATTTTTGCTAAAAAGAAATATGGGATTGGTGTCTGTACCAGCGCCATAATAATTTCCTACTATGTTGTCTGACTTCAGTTCTTCTCCACCACTGCATAATAATACTTGATCTTCTACAGAAATATTTACAGATTTTGCTATTTCAGTCTTTAATTCCATTACCCTAGAGAAAAAATAAATTAAAGCATTAATGATATTCAAGACATGGCTAGTAAAAAAAAGTGACATTTATTCTTAATATTAGTAAACTCAATAAGCTATGACTTTGTTTAAATATAATAAAAACATTATTTTTCAGTTAGACTTTTAGTAATTCTACATAGTGCAACTACAAAGTTTTAGAACCAATCGTGTATTATTTTTGACTAATTCCAGCAAACCTGCCAAATGCCAACTGATAGTATTTATTACTATGACATCTCAACCTGTTTTTCTCAAAAATATTGTCTGCTTATGAACAGAATTTTCTATGCTGTGAATCATCTGTCCTGATCCAAGGAATATTTGCTGTCATAGATATGAAAGGTCAACAAAGAATAATAATTATGTTTATCTGTAAAGCGGAAATTAATCCTGATTTTTCAAACAAATTGTGACAGGAGGTGAAAAGTATCAGTCATCAACTACCATTACAGAAAATTTGCCATGGTCACAAAAACTACAAGTACAGAAATCTCAAGTAAAGAATATATTGGTGACATTTTTTAATTGGAAAAGTATAATTCACGAGAAATTTGTTCGTATGAGATGAACTATTACATTTATATTTTACAAAAACATGATGAGCAGACTTCTGAAGAGAATACAGTGCAAAAGGCTCAAAAAAACTCAAATATAACTCAATCCCACTGCATAACAAATCACACAATTCCTTTGCATTAAGCAGTTAGACAAAAAGGTGTGGTAAAATGCCTACTCCAGTGTGCAGTGCAGTGAGATATGAAAGATGAATTTTTAAAATTGTCAATTTTCAATTTCTTTATTAATACAAAAATTCTCTTCTACAGATGCCTGCCCATGTGACAATATTTGAACCAATTTCATAACTTTCCACCATGTATCTAGTGAAAAGATGAGCTAATAAAGTGAAGATAAACATGTTAAGAGAAAGACTTCAAACGTAGAAAATTCAAATAACTTTGTTTTCACTGTTCTTAAAAAATTTTCCAAAAAATAAAAAATTCATTACACATTTCCTATAAAATCTATTAATTATGTGTTAAAGCCATGAAGTTATTTAACATTTTGTCACATTTTTCTATAAACCTTGGTTTCAAATCCTTCAAAACCTGAAGTTACCAGGTCTAAAAATCATCCCCTCTGTAAGAACAAAAAGCCAGAAGATTTTTGAATAAAATGTTTAGAAAGAAAAGTGTAAACTTTTAAGAGTAGACAACTTTTAAGAGAAAACTGACACACTTTTCAATATTCTGAAATAACAATATGGGGAAAAAACTCTTATGAAAAAGTATAAATGAAATTAATTTTTAATAATTAAGTAGCTTTCATGCTTTTTGGTAAGAAGTGCTTCAGAAAGTATGTTTTATAGCATTTGTTACCTTATTTATTTTTCCAAATCAAAACATTTTCAAGATCCCAAAATGGAAAGTAATGTCAATTTAAAATCCGACATGGGAAAATAAAAATGTTTTATTTTAATGCTATTTCTTAATTACAGTTTCAACAGATTATCATGATTTTAATGATATTGATTATTATTTTATATTATTTTAATGTTATTTATCAATTTTATTATGTTCCTAAAAAGAAAAAGAAAAAACGAATAAATCACAAATCTCCGGATAAAAAATTCTGTATATAAATTGATCTTGAAATCGCTAAAATGTTGACAAGTCGCTAAATTTAGCTCCGCATAATAAAAGAAATCATATCTCAAAAAGGAAAATTTGTTTTGATGTAATATTTTATGAATTCATCATTCTCAAAAAAGAAATAATTTCAAAATGTTTCAAAAGATACAGAGTCTCATACCCAAAAATTTGAACATCATGCCATTTATATTAAAAAGTAGGAAAAAATTCATATGATAGCCCATCAGATGTATATATTTGTCAATGAATTGCCAAAAAAATATTCCTCGAAAACGTTAGTTAACACTCAAAATGGCAGTCGTAAAAAAACAGACAGAAATGTCAGATAAGTGGAATTAAGGACCTTTAGTCGATTTTGGCCAAACTTAAGGACCAAAAACCTAAGGCCTTTTAAGTATTTTTAAGGACAAGACAAACCCTGTTTTATTATAGATTATAAAGTCAGAGCCACATTTGTGCTGTCCAAAGATAGCATTGTGGAGGAAACAATAGAAGTTTTAATTGAATGTTCACACTACTAATCCAACTTTATAAAGAGATTACTACTAGTTCAAATTTATAAAAATACAACTATCCCATTCAATAATGACATTTAATAGTTAACTATGCAAGTTTGAAATTCTATTAACTGCTGTACATTTATATTCTTAAGTTTCCCCTTGCTTTTACAGTAAAACTTGATTTATTAATTCAAAAACATGAAATATAGAAATAAAAATATGTCTCATTCCTTCTTACACTCACAAACAATTATGTGACCATGAATTTTTTCAGGTGAAGGACAAAAATATAGTTATTCATACAAGCAGTGTTTAATATCTTGATTTTTCCACATAAGAGATTTCCTACATTTATTATGAATACCTGAAATCACATTTTTCAATACAGCATTTACAATTTTATATAGAGGCAATGGCTAATAGCTTGAAATATATACAAAAATTTTGATACTTCTTAATTTTCATGGCCCCAGTAATAAACCACTAAATTATGCAAACTGCGCGAAATCAAAAAATGCCCAATTATGTACACTGCATGAAATCATAATAACCCTCTTTTCACTTTAAATTTTATTTTTAAAAAAATGGCAAATTTTAATTGATCGAGGAGTGAGTAAGAGCTGTATCGTTTTTCCATAAAAAAAATATATTACCTCATAATCAAACATGTATAAATGACCATGTAGTACATGGTTTTCTTATGTTTATTAGGGATGCCTGGGACTTTATTTACCATCTTTGAATACAACATTAACAATAGTTTAATACTACTTTTTCCCTATTTCTCTACGTATTTTCTCTTAAAAAAATATTACTACTCCCCTAAAACAAACATGCTTTGTCATAATCAAATTAAGCAAACCAAAACTACCTCTTAAACAATGTTCTTATTACGGTTTTCCTCCCTCAATTTTTGAATAACATTCGTTCTGGTAAATTTCTGAGTTTATTTCTTGAAAATAAATCCATGCACTTATTAAAAAGGAACAACATGTTATGGAAACTGGATAGGCCACTGTCTAAAACAGCTTTCATTAAAAATTATGTTTCTCATCATTACATATAATAAAAGAAAAAGTCTGTCCATGTAAATGTCTTTCGTTTATGCTGTGCGTAAGCTAATCGACTCAGAGCTACGGAATTTTGTACATAGGTGCATCTAGATAAGAGCCAGTGCACCTCAAAACAGTGTTTTTTTTTTTTTTTTTTTTTTTTTTCAAATTTCAAATCAGATTTTTTTTAAATCTTTTTTGGTGAAATCGCATAATTTTGAATAGCTTCATTCTTTTAGAAATGTGGTTTGGGCAACAGTTTTTCATACAATGCTTTGTATACTGGACTTGAAAATATGAGATAAAATATGCATTGCTTATTTCACTGTTTTTAAGATACTGAATAGTTTAGCATGAATTTTTTTCAGGAAGTTGGTTAATTTATTTATTAGAATAATTAATATTTGTATAACAGGATATTGCTTATTTCATGTGGCTTATTTTCTTTTGATTTTTGGACACAAACATCACAATCTTCTTATACTGACGTGCATGTGTCTCGCAAGGTACAACAGAAAGAAGTTCCTTTTTTTCTTCCCCCCTCTTTTTATTAGCTAATGGCAAAGAGGTTTTATATTTTGAATTATGTCATCCACAAAGCACAATTTCGATTGGTTATTGCTTTCTGGTGATAGTTTCATTCTTTTAGAAATGTGGTTTGGCAAGTTTTTCATTCATTGCTTTGGATGCTGGACTGCTGACTGTTTTCTCTTGAAAATATGAGATTTCTTGCTTATTTCATTGTAATTTTTTTATACAGTACAAAGTCCGAAATCTGGACATCTATTATACAGAATGATCTAAAATCCGGACCTCAAAACCACCAACAGTTTTTTCTCGTAGGCTGTAACGCATGCACATTTGATTCCCCCCTCCGGGCATAATAAAACATCTGGAGAATCCTGAATCTTAATTTCCCTTTGACACTAAATAAAATACCTTGTTATTGAAGAAACAATCATTTTAGCATAAATTTGTACCATCAGTAATTTGATTCCGTTGCTGCGTATGTGCTTTGGCACACATCTCAAACCGAAACATTCCACATAAATACATTGTTGATCTGATGCCAAACTGGCGAATCATTATTAATTATACTTTCCTTTCATCACCACATGTTTATCAAAACATGACAACTTGAATAATGACTCATGTATCGATACCTAAACATTTTTTTTTATGTTAGCAACTGAATAATAAAGGAGTATGGTAACCTTTTATGTTGACGACGAGCGTTTAACACTTTGCGATGATTACAGATTTAAGTTAAATGCGCTAAAAATGTTGCCAAGAAAAAATTTACCAAAAATTTCTTTCCATATGATAAAAATAGATTTTATTGATGATACCCATACACCCAAAGATTATATTCAGGACTATTTGGATTAAGAATAACTGATTTGTTATTCGCATAAACCCAGAACCAGTGCCAGGGCTTGTATGGCCGCAGCGAGTCGCATAATTTAGGACCCACAGACACTGCATTAGGCAGTAAGATATCTAGCGCCGGCCTTCAATAAAGCTTTAGTATGTGTGAAAACTTATTTATTCAAAACTCTGATAAGGCTTTAAGCAAGTGCAAGAAATAAACATAAGTATAATAAATAAACATAAGTATAATAAATAATTAATACAATTCAGGCTAATTGTCTCAGCATGCGATAGAAGCAAGATAAAATTTAATGGAACAACTTCTTGTTAGCCGCCAAGCTCATACTGCATACCCAAATATGTATAGTGAAGGATAGCTAAATTTGATGATGATAGTCACTAATTTTA